CCGAAAAAACCGGATTTTTTTTTTAATTACCTCAATCACATAATCTTTCAACCGTTATAAAAAAATTAATAAACAAAAATTACAACAAGAATTAAACATTAATCTAATTTGACATTAAGGTTAGATAAATGACAGACATTGATTTTTTTAAAAAGAAGTAATGTAATGACCCATTAATGGTTGGTAATTGGTATAATATTACTATGGAAGACATAATGAGAATTTAGAGGTAATTTAACTGTACGTTCATAATTCATATCCACCATTAATTCTTTTTATCTTATCCTTCCTATATTAATTCCTTAATACTCGTTCGAATAAACAAGCGAAAGAAGATTCACTGCAGCTAAGAAATATACAATACAGTATACCAAAATGAAAAGGAATATATGTATAACTAGTTGATGCTGGTTCTTGTAGTTTTCATTTACAAATATAATATAGACATTTATTTTATTAATTCTCAAAGAAATAAATTAATATTTGCGGGAAAGAGATTTCCCATCTTCATGATATTTATGTGTTTTTTTTCATTAGTACCATATCAAGGCTCTTGTGATCTGTGAACATTACAAAAGCTCTTGTGATCTGTGAACATTACAACCGAATTGAGAAAACGATTATATTACAACAATAAAGTCAAAGTGGAGAAAAACAGGAAACAATTTTTTTTATTTTTTATTTTTTATTATAGGATGGAGTCATAGACATTGAGGAATTGAGAGTTAAACCTAAACCTTTTCCTTGGCCCACTAAACCCGGACCCGGTCCATTAAACCCGGTTCCCGTTTTTTAAACAAAGCCGGTTCAAAACCCAGATTAACTGGACCCGTTGGACCCATACTCGAAATACCCGGAACCCAGATAAGAGTAATTTTGAAACCCAATACCCGGACCGTTTAAGCATTTTCCGATTATACCGGTTCCGGTTCTGGTTCCAGTCCGATTCCGATTCGATTTTTCGGTTTTATAACTCATCCGTATTGTATACCATGCCACTCCTTAGTCTGTGAGTATATGTATTTTCCTTGTTTAAACCTATAACATTTTATATGTATTAAACCCTTTGATAATGCCATGATTAAATTCCCGGGACATCATTTAAGATTATACTGCATACACAAGCTTTATGTTGCCCTAGGCCCTAGCCCTAGCCCTATACCCTTCCCTTTGCGCCTGAACGACCTCAACAAAAATAGAAGGGCCCCGTCAAAAAGACAAACTCCCCTGATTTCTATTTTCAGCCCCAACACTTATCTCCTAACGTGCATCTTTCCCGTGACGAAACCACCTTCAAAAATTCCCCATTTCCCTGTGTATACTTGGAGCAAATGAGCATTGAGTGAGGGGGCCACAGATACTTAAGGTGTGAGGTTGTCGAACCCATGATTAAGGACCATAAAAAGGTGCGTGCCCCGGTCAGTGTTTACAGCTTAGCAACAATCATGATTCATGAGTGACGATAGCAAATTTCTGTTTTCTCCCCTCAATTTCCACCAATCGCATCTCCGATTTTGTGCTTCACATCTCATTTTTCATCTTTCTTGATGAGCAAACCATGCTCGTCTAGCTACTAAGGGTTTGGTTGATTCTTTCCTTTTTTCGCCGATTAAGGGTTTGGATGCCGTGAACAAATGGGTGCAGCTGGCTCCAAACTTGAGAAAGCTTTGGGCGACCAATTTCCAGAAGGCGAACGATACTTCGGTCTCGAAAATTTTGGCAATACATGTTACTGTAACAGTGTCTTGCAGGTCGTCGCTCGCTATTGTTATTTTAAAACATCTCAACCATTAATTTTGATCTAATGTTTTCCTGTTCATGTCATTTAAAGAAATTCGATTTAGTTCTTGAGTTTGGGTGCTTAAAACTCCATATATCTGAGGGTTTCTACTTTCTTATATGGTGATCTGGTTTTGCTTGAATTGATATATAATTATATATGTTCGCACTTCTGTCTACATTAGGGGAAATAAATCATATGGGTTTTTCTTTTTCATTGGTGACAGGCTCTTTATTTCTGTGTTCCATTTCGTGAGCAATTGTTAGAATATTATTCAAGCAACAAAAGTTTTGCTGATGCAGAAGAAAATCTATTAACATGCCTAGCAGACTTGTTTACGCAGGTATAACTTTTTACTAGATAACACTGATATTTTTTTTCTGTTTATCTTCAATTTAGTTTCTTTGTAGGTTGTAGATGGGAATTTAATGTTTTTTTTTTTATTTGCTTTGTAGATAACTTCACAAAAGAAGAAAACAGGGGTGATTGCTCCAAAACGCTTTGTACAGAGATTGAAGAAGCAGAATGAGATTTTCCGTAGCTATATGCACCAGGTAAAATATTTTGTAAAGCTATGTTCATTTCAATATACAAATTAGAAGATCTAATAGTATTCTCTCCTTTGTAAAGTTAATTTTGATAGTTATTAGAGTTTACAATCATGGGTGTTATTTATTGAAATTTAGTATAATCTGATAACTAGTTCAAAAGACTGAGTTCTTTGTACACTTTGGTTAGTGACATTCACATTCACATCAGTTGCATCTTTGTTCACTGTAGAATGCTGTTTTGTAGCTTCTGTTTTATGCCTCATCAATCATCATCATATTTATGTACTCTAAAGGTGGAATTAGTCATTACATTCCATGATCATGTATGATCATGTTTGTTTGGTCTGTAGGAATGGAAGGATACCTTATCTTCTCTGAAACTCTTAATTGAAGACGTAATCCCATCTCTCCATGGAAGCAGCATTACTGAAGCCCAAAAGGGCTACAATGAGAAATGGCATGAAGGTTTACAACCTCAAGGATCTTGTTGAGTGATAGGGGATGTCTGTGTGACAAAAGTTGCATTTTTTTTTAGGATTCATGTTTTTGTTGCATGTAAATAGATGTATATGGTGATTTACACTCTGTTTGTCTTTGACCATTTTTTATTATTATTTATAAATCTGGATTTCTTGTGGTGTTTAGGATGCCCATGAATTTTTAAATTATCTGTTAAACGAACTTGTGGACATACTGGAGAAAGTATCACGTGCTGCAAAGAGTGATCCAGAATCTTGTTCATCTTCTGAGCAAATTCCTAATGGAATAAAGACTTCTCACATCAATGGTCATGTAAGAGAGCCACTCATCACATGGGTGCACAAGAATTTCCAGGTAACTATGTTTCAAGTCACATTTTTGTCCTTTACAGTTTGAATCTATAACAGTTATTATTTTTATCAAGCATCACTTCACTTGTAGACATAAGGGTAAAATGGTCATTTACTTTTGTAGACACAACAGTTTTAATGGAAAGAAGGACAAAATAAAGAAAAGCACTTGTACTTTGAGACATGTTATGTTATCAATTTAGCTTTTGTGTAATGATTAAACAAAACCATTAAATACCTTTTCTGATATTTTGAACTAACTATTATTAATTTTTGTCCATTCAGCCATTGAACTAATATTATTATAGTAAATCATAAAAAAGATAAAGCTGTTGTGTGATTGATTGTTCAGGGTATACTCACAAATGAAACAAGGTGCTTGCGATGTGAGACAGTAACAGCAAGAGATGAAACCTTCCTTGACTTGAGCCTTGATATTGAGCAAAATACCTCAATTACTAGTTGTTTGAAGAACTTCAGTTCCACTGAGACTTTAAACGCTGAGGACAAATTCTTTTGTGATAAATGTTGCAGGTATGTATGCTCTAGGGTATTTACGTCTTTTCATGCCTCCCACCTTTTTATTGGCCTTGATGTCTGTTGACTTTGGATACTATTTTATACTGTTTCAGCTAACAGTGTTGTACAAATATTTGTCTAACTTTTTCAAAGTTCAAAAAGGCAACTTTTAGTACCAGTGTGAAAAGACTACTAGTGTCCTACATCATAAAGGAACCTATTCCAGTGTTGATCAAGTTTTTTGGCTCATTGTATGACTTTGTTGGCCATGGATAAGACCTTTCTTTTGGTATTTGTCTGTGATATGGACAGATTGTCCAAACAAAAAGACACTCTTGTACATCAGACTTGGACAAAGATTCATGTTAATGTAATAACTAATAAAAATTGCTGTTTTTGTCCCACCCAAAAAGTTAAAATATGGACTTGCTCTCGAGCTTTTGTTTGTACAAAAGACATAAATGCCCTCCTCATCCTCATCATATAAAATAGCTTTCCCAACCCCTATCTTGTATAACAAAAGCAAACTTCAACTTTAAGACGCTAATTGTTATTTTGATGAGATAAGAATTGATAAATGATTAAACTTTTTGACAATTAGCTTTTTTGTTTTATCGACATCACTCGTCACTATGATTAAACTTTTTGGCAATTTACTCTTTTGTTCCAGTGACATTAGTCACACTCATATTTTTTCACACCAAGTTGATGTCACTATTAAAATTTGACAATTTACTTTTTTTTGTCCCATTCACATTAGTTACACTCGCACTGAGTTTCAGCCGTTGATTTGTACCATTGACATCAATCACACACGCACTAAATTATGTTTTTTTACAGTTTGTTTTTTTTTCCCCTCACCATCACCCAGTGTTTATTTTTTAGAAGACAAAAGACATAAAACATCTGTTTGTCCTCTTTTTGCAGAAGATCCAAAAGAAAAAAAAAACTTTTAAAGTTGGAAGACATTTCTAACCCTTAGCTTTTAAAGTTTGTCGCTTTTTTCTCGATATATTTATTTATTTATTTTTTCAATTTTTTTTTTTGTTCTTGGTTGATTTTGTTTTGAATTTGAACATGGTTTTTATTGATTTTAAAAAATTGATGGTTTAAGAAGATGATAATGGTGGTGGTGGTGGTAATGACTCCGGTATGGTTACTGGTAGATGATGATTTCATTTACTTTATAAAAAATAAATTTTAGCCTACAAACTTTTAAAAATAAAAAATATTTTTTATGCAGACTGTAGACAATTGGTGCAAACTTTTCTACAGTACAACGCATAAAAAAAAGACTAGAAACATTTTATCTTTTCAAAAGCAAATACACCTTAGTTTCAACCGAGTCACTGATACTGACATCAGTCACAGTTACAATTACACAAAACACTGAGTTACTACTTTTTGACAGTTTACTGACATCAGTCACACTCACATTGATTTCTGCCATTATCCATGTATCTATAGTCACAGTCACAGTAAACACAAGAAATAACTAAATCTTTCGCGTACTAATGAAGCTTGCAGGAAGCCCAAAAAAGAATGAAGATCAAGAAACCACCACAAATCCTAGTAATCCATTTAAAAAGATTCAAATACATCGAGCAACTCGGGCGTTACAAAAAGCTTTCATACCGTGTCGTCTTCCCCCCTGGAGCTCAAACTAAGCAACACTGTCGAAGACACAGACGCCGAATATTCTCTTTTCGCGGTTGTGGTCCATGTCGGAAGTGGGCCCAACCACGGACACTACGTGAGCCTCGTGAAAAGCCATAATCATTGGTTGTTTTTTGATGATGAAAATGTAGAAATGATCGATGAGTCAGCTGTGCAAACTTTTTTTGGGTCCGCACAAGAGTATTCCAGCAACACGGATCATGGCTACATCTTGTTTTACGAAAGGGTCGATGTAGGTACCACAAGTTGAAAAGACGGATTTACCCTCCTCCCTTAAGAGGAAATTTTACAATTTTGAACGGATACGCATAACATTTCACTGTCTTTATTATATACATTTTTATTGGACTGGTTCTATTTTTGTAATGTATAACAATTGGTCCGTCCCACAAATGACATGGAGGAGGTAACTTAGTAAGGAAAGTGATTATGTGATCTTATTTGTGAGTTTTCACCGTGTTACTTACTGTTAGCGTAAACATGTACAGACAGTACAACAATGGTGGAAGCTAACTTATATATATATGTTCATTTAGCACCAACAGTTGGCGAGCATTCAAGAAAGTTGAATGTTGCTTATGTAGTAGTTTTAATTTTGTTATTAGTTAACGGTAACTATGGATTGACGAGTTTAAGAAGATTATCGATGATTTGCCTTGTATGATTGTATTAGGTCATTAAGTTGTAAGAGTGTATAAAACTTGAGGGATTCATGTGACATCTTTTTTTCCTTTTACATCCTCTATCTTTACTTCACTAAGGTGTTTGTTTTTTCTGAGGCACAATGTATGTAGTTTGCGGACCACATCTACAGACCTCTGCAGTAGAAGAGGTGGACAAAACATCTGTAGTTTGAAAGAAAAAGATTGTTTGTTTTTTAACATCTGTAGACTGTTATGTAGACAATTAGAATAAACTAAAATGTAATTAAATAGATTTTTTTAAACTTAGAAGAGCTTTTCAATAGTTTTATGATTTTATTATAGATAGTTAAACAAATTTAGATAACTATTATGTATTATTGTATAAAAAGTGAATAAAATGGTATGAATTAACGTATATATTTGATAAAAACTAACAAACTTTGGTCACAAAGTTATACTTAAACATTGTAATTAGAGATAAAAGAAATTAACACATAAAATGGATGGAAATAAATTTTGATTTTAAATGAAAATTTTCATGGTACTTTTTCAATAAAATCAATTAAAAATCAAGCATAAATATTTTTTCCAAGAAAATGAATGATACTGCATTAAATAATGTTTTATAAAATTGGCACAAAAAATACAAGACAATATTAGGATTTTTTTTTTCATATCTATATAAACAGCTCAAATGACCATTATTGTAAGGGAAAATGTCACTGTAGCCCCACGAACTTACACATTTTGGTTTAAAAGGTCCCTTATGTTATTTTTTTGGTTTTATAAGGGCATGAATTCACATTTTACCGGTTTTTAAGGCCATTTTCTAAAAAGTGAAGAGGTCACCCGGTGACCTCCATCCCAATCAGCAGGTTTTCTTTTACATATCATTAAAAAAAAGCCACCTCATACGTCCAAATCACATGCCACATAATGTATCGTTAAATGAGACTAACTCTTCCTCTACAAGATATATTCTTCTTTAGTCGGTTTCATCTGTCCCTTTCTTCTCTTTTCTTCTACCGTTCCTCGAAAAAAGTCTCCCTTAGATTCTTGCTATGGCCGTATACATGAAGATCGATCTTTATTTTGCTGGTTTGTTTACGAGGTATCCAATGATCAGTTACTTAGATAGAGTGGAGCAAAGGTTTGAGGATGTGGATTTTGCTGGAATGGACAAAAACGAATTTCTATTGTTCATTCAAAGATTCGCAAATGAGACATGCGTTAATGTGTACTTTGCATGCCTGATATTGAGTTCCCTGATGGATTGAGGATAATAGCAACTGAGAAAGACTACTAGGAGTTGATTGAAGTAAGGTATGATTGTGGTTGTGTAATTTCTATGTACATGGATCATGTTGGTGTTAATGTTCATTAATGGATTGTTGATGAGATAGTTGAAGTATGCACCCCCGAGGACAAGTTTTTTGGTGTAGGTGAAGTAATAGAAGAGTTGCATGCTGAGACAGAAGGAGGCATTGACCTAGATGAAGTGCAAGTGCAAGGTAATTTGGACGATAACATTGAAGATGGAGATTGCATTCCAATGAACAAGACCTTGAATGATGCGTTTTTGAACAAGCTCTGCCCCAAGGAGCAGCCAACTCCAAACAATCCACCTCATAAGGATCCATATGATCAGATGGATGAAAACGCGCCAATTCATGAGGATGTAACAAATTTTAATGAAAATCTTCATTGGAAAAAGCAAAACCCTGTGCTAGGAATGAGATTTGAAAGTCCTAAATAGTTAAAACATATGTTGTGTAATTATGTTGTTGCTAAAGGGTATCAATTGTGCTACAAAAAAATGATAGTATGAGACTTTTTGTTAAATGTTGTTCAGGGCAATGCAAGTTTAGATTGTGGGCTTCATGGATGAGTGAAGAAAATTCTTTCCAGATTAAGTCTCTTATAGATGAGCATAATTGTGAAAGAAATTTTAAAATGGGGTCAATTGTAAACTATGCATGGATTGGTAGCCATTTCATAACACAATTCTTATAAAAACAAAAAATGAGTGTTAGGCTACTTAAGGAAGAAGTGAAACAAAAATTTAGAATTGATGTGAGTATGGGACAGTGTAGGAGAGCAAAGAAATATGCAATTGAACTAATTGAAGGCACACTAGTTGAGCATTATGCCAAGCTTTGGTCATATGGTGAGGAGATAAGAAGATCCAATCCAGGATCAACTGTCAAAATGGATGTCAACAGTATGCCTGATGGGAAGACATATTTTAGTAAGTTTTATATATGTTTTGAGGGGCTGAAGCAAGGTTGGAAAGACAATTGTAGAAGAGTAATAAACCTGGATGGTTGTTTCTTAAAGGGGTTATGTATCGGAGAGTTGATATGTATCGTAGCAAGAGATGCTAACAATCATATTTTCCCAATAGAATGGGCAGTTGTTTGTGTGGAAAACAAAGAAAATTGGAAATGTTTTTGGAGAATCTTAAAGATGATCTAGAAATGGAAAACGGTTTTGGTATTACCCTGATGTCAGATCAACATAAGGTATGTCACTTTGTTAACACGCTGTCGCGCACGTATTAAACAAATTAATTTATCACTGCTGGTTGCACTAAAAATATAACACAGGGAAGCAGGGTCGAATCCTCAGGGATACAGCCTAAAAGTCAATGCCTTTTTTGCATCAGGCACATCTAGTCAAGAAACATAATATAAAGGGGGGGGGGGGGTTTGATTAAAACTAATAACTAGAAATGCAGTGATAATAAAGTAAACGAAAATCAATAATAAAAATGGTTTCAGCTCTGCTGTGACTTTCCTAATCATGCAACTGATCCAGATCTGATTATTTGAGATGCGTTCTATCTAAGCTGGTACTGAGAAAAACTAACAATTAAGCTCTAGTAATTTCTCTTTTACCTTATTTAGTTAACCAAAAGAAGCTCTTCAATTAACCCTAACTTTTTACTGTCTAATCAAACAAGCTCTTAATTAAGATCAGAAAAGTTGCATTAAGTTCTTTGTAAAATTCCCAGCAATACCCAATACTTCTCACAAGCTCGGAAGCGTAAAGATATGATTTTTACAGTTTATAATAAAGTCAAATCCCAAACACGGAACCGATTTATTACTTGTTACTTATTACCAATTATTTAGAACAATTACGGATTCTATTAACTGATTAACTGGAATGATAAAACCCTAGCTAGGTGATCAGACTAACAAGAATTCAAATCAAACATTCATTAAGCTCAAAACTGAAGAATCTAGATAGAAACACAAATCAAAAACCAGATCTAATGATCAATCACATGAAAAGTAATTGTCTTTGCAGAACTGAAAACTAGGGTTTCGCCAGACATGGCTAAAATCTGATCTAAAACAATAAAAAGAAACATTAAACTACTAAATCTTACTAAACTAAACGTAGGAGATGATCTACAGTCTTCAGATCTTCAGAAATCGTTGAAATCGGAGAAGAAACACCTCCAAAGTCGTATTTTCGTCGTCTGGTACCTCTGGAATCGCCAACTTAGGTTACTGGAAGGTTATCAGGGTCTATTTATACGTCCAGCAGCAAAAACGGCGCACCTGCGATCGCATGTACACAACCTGCGATCGCAGGTTTTGAAATTACGTCTACTTTTCAGATCATTTTGAATCGCGTCAATCGGAGTTACGGTTCTCGAGATATGGTCAAAATACTGACAGGGGGTCAAAGCTGCCAGTAACATCCTTTATCTTTAGATTGTAGATTCTTTCTTCGTGTGATCAATTCGATCTAATGTTTCTTGACCAAAGCATCTTCCAAACATTCCTCAACATACTCCATAAGTCCCAAGCTCCATTTTAAGCTCCAAACACGCATCCAACTGCTCCCAAAGCACTGCTCCACTCGAACTATCTGAAATTGACATAAAAACATGAGCACTACGAGAATTCTAACGAAAGACATGGGCTGAACATTATTTATCTAAATGACATGCAAATGTACAAAATATGATGCTAAAATGATGATAAAAACTACCCTATAAGATGCATAAAATGACATCTAACACACTTACTATACAACTTAATGTTATTTCTTAATGAATTTATATTTTCTTAACAGATGAATTTAAATTGTGTAGGGGCTGTTGGAGGCTGTGAAGGAGGTATTGCATACTGCTGAACACAGACAGTGTGCAAGGCATATTGTTGCCAACTTTAGGAAAAGATTCAGTGGTGTACATTATGAGAGGATGTTTTGGAAGGCATGCAATGCATCCACTGAGCCTTTATTCAATGCAGCCATGAAGGAAACACAACTACTTAATCCTACAACATTTGATTACCTTATGGAAAAGAACCCAAAATCATGGTGTAGAGCTTTCTTTCAAGAGGGGACGATGTGTGATGCGGTTGAAAATGGATTATCTAAAAGTTTTAACAATGTCATTAGAGATGCAAGAAAAAAACCAATAATCACAATGTTAGAAGAAATTAGGTTGTATGTTATGGAGAGGCAATTCAATCTGGCCATCAAAGGTTGTTCATGGCCTAATTATAAACCATGTCCAGCTATTACAATCCTACTGAATCAATTGAAAAGAGCTCAAAGGTATTAACTTTAATTTTGAATTTTAATTGATTACTTACACTATATACTAACTTGTATACAATTTAAACAAGTATTGGAAGGTTTTACCAACTGGTTTAAACCAGTTTGAAACAAGAAATTTGGCAGAGTCTTATGTTGTGGATATAAATAAGAAGACTTGTTCATGTAGAGTGTGTGTCATAGCT